TCAAAAAAAGGAACCGAGCATGGCCGGGTACACTAACATGTGCACACAAAACACAATCAGCTCTCAGGCAAAATGTGGCACTCTGAGCTTAAAAAAGTCAGATCCAAGACAGGTCAATTGGATTTACACAGCACAGGCTTCCGCCGGAGTTCTTCTTGCTGCAGCCTGATTGCCCCAGGATCCTCGGTGGTAGCGAAAATGCTTCCTTCAGCATCTGCTGTGACGGCGTCGCGCTCTACCTCAATAAGCGCTGCACGACCAGCATGAAACGCTCAAACGCATGTGCGATCTTCTAGGAACAGATGAAATGTGGCTTACCTTTGCCAGTTGTTGCATGGTGCGATTTACTTGCTAGGAACCGTTATCACATGCAGCGTCTCTGCCTCGGCCTTGGTTGGCGAGTCCTGTTCAACTTCACGTGCTGCATGCCATCTCATGAAAGCTCAGGACCTAAGCAGTCTCCTTCGCAGCAGGATCCAAATGCTGCGTAAGGAGCTCTACCACCTGGAGCCATCTTTCTTTGAGTGTTTGGAGCCGGTGGCGATTGTTTGTGAAGCATCGCAATACCAGTACTACCATGCACCAGTCACGCTGCCCTCGTGGCCTCTTTGTGCCCTTCGCATTCTGCCAAGCCAAGGGCCGTCACACCCACCTTACAGGAAGGGAAAATTGGCAAACAGGCAGCCAACCCGCGGCTTACATGCCAGTGATGAGGCAGTGCCCTAGCCAGGCTGCAGCATTTGAATCCTGACACATGGGTTCACGTACAGTTGCTTCACGTTGGTGTGCGTTGCCTCTATCTTCCCAAAGCCGAAGTGTGAGTAACCCAGCGGCGCATGGATTTCAATGATGTTCAAGTTCAGTATCTTGTGTCGCTTGCCAGGACTAAGAATGCAGCGCACCCTGTGTGCAACCTTCCGCTTCACGAGCCATATGCTAAGGTTTGCTTCCAAGAAGCCTGCCATTGAAGCCTCTATAAACTCAGCAACCTTTGCTCTCAACGGAATCTCAGCCCCGCATGCCTCCAGTGGGATACGACAGCTTGAAGTATGAGGGCCAGGGTGTATGCTACTCATGTGACATGCTTGTGGTAGAGGTACGCTTGGCTGGACAGCGCATCTTGGGAGCAGGCTGTGCTTTCATGTCCAGCATGCGCACGGCCCTCCAGCAGCAGCTGGCACACCTCTCACCCGCAGTTTAGAGCTTGTGCGTTCTCAAGTGTCACTGCTGAAGCAAGTGAAGCAGTTTCCAGCCTGTGCCTCTCACAGTATGAGGCAACACACTTTGCAGACCCTGAGCTAGTCAGAGCCTCCAGGTCTCCATAGCAGGCAGCTTCAATGAGCGGCGGTTCCCCGCTAAGGTCAGCTGCGTTTGGATCAGCCTTTGCCTCTCAAGCGAAACAAGGATATGGAGATGGCATTCGGAGCAGAGACCCATTGCTTCAAACCCCAGGGACAAGCACCTCGAGCAGCTTGCGCATGGGGCCTCAGAGAGCTTGGGTGGCTTAGCACCTTCGATGGAAGTCTCATTGTAGAAATCACCTAGCTTGGGGAGACAGAAATGAAATGCAGAACAACAGCGAGAGCATGCACCCTTGCCATTCTTCAAAGCCCGTTTCGTGGCGTCTCTGGAGAATGCTGGGTGGTTGACGGAGCCACGGACCGGCTGGTGAAGCATCACTGGGTCGCTCCATCGCTGCGCGGCAGGCTATCCTGGGCATCATCCAGCCATGCTGGCTCTGCCTTGAGCTAACTACCTCGGCAAGGAAGAACAACCCTGAAACCGTGCAGTTGATCTACAAATCAAAATCGCAGCTTGTACTCAGTGTACTCCAGGTTGATGAAATCGCGTCACCCAAGGATCACTCCCCCATTTCAAAAGCTCCCATCCGTGCCAGACTTTCTGAGATGATACTATGAGGATCCTCAACCTCTGAAGCAGACCTCAGTGAACATCTGGTTTATGAAGATCAAATCAAGACCAGCTAGTGCCCCCGTCTCAGGCCTTCTGGCTTGGCAATGCATACAGTAACAGCCGATATCTTTAGCTATGTCAAGCCATCAAACAAATGTCAGCCAGGAATATGGGGACAGGACATGAGCGGTGTTTCGCCCAGAAGGTTGCGCGGGTCGACCTGCCCAAGTGCACACTGAGCGTGTTTCACAGTCTTTCGTCTACTGAAGTGCTCTGGCGGCCAGCGCAGGCAGTAACTTGCACAACTGACACTGCCTCCGCCCGGAACTGCAAGAGCAGAGCCACAGTGGCGAAAACGCGGTCTGTGGGCGGCGTCATGACGGCCACGTGCCTCACAGCACATTCTGCAGATGCTGCAAGCTGCTGCGGGAGTAGTGGCCGTACAGCAGTAGTGGTCTAAGATCAAAGCAAAAGGGTAAAGCCGTCACTGTCATGCATTCTCAACGCAGTCTGCTTGTCATCCAGAGCCTGCACACACAAAGACTTGTTGAAGCAGTCCTAACCGATCCAGCATATCCACGTAGCTTGCTCTGACCTTCAGCAGCTGACGAGCTCGTGGAGGCTCAGCACTACGGACGGCACACCAGAGTGGCGACGACGTGATATGCTCCATGTCCTGAATCAGTCTTGCAAAGTATGCCTGTCTCCTTCTGTTTCTTTTGAGTTGTCGGTCCTGCCCCCTAGGCAGTCTGCCTGGTTCCTGACTGCTCCGCCTCAGCGGAGTCACCTGCGCTTCTTCATCATTGTACGATCTGCTGTCCTGCATCACACTGCGGCTGAATTCGGCAACCGACTGCCGCATCCGAACAGCTGGACCCCACAGCCAGGTATTACGCAAGTCTGAGGCAAGCTTGGCGCCTCTTTCTTGCAGTCCTCTCTCGCTTCTTCAACGACCAGTTCTGGAGCCTGCAACTCCTTCACCGATGCAAGTTGACATTGTCTTAGGATGGATCGAGGGCATGAAACGAAGGCATGCCTCTTCATCTGTGAGCGCGCTTTCATCCAGCTCTGGATCCTCAAGCGTATTGAAGTGTGACAGCTTTGTGGCACTTTTCCCGTAATTCCAGTGTCCTTGTCCTCGAAACACTCCTCGCTGATGAAGATATTCTCGGAGGTGGAGCCCTGTCCACGGAAAACGAACTCAAAACTCATGCAGCCGAGATTCGACTTCTGCAGCTTCTCAGCCGATGGCAGCTCAACTGAGTAGCGTTTTTTTTGGTGGTTAAACCCAGTAAGATTAGATTCCTTATATAAAATACTATATCCCAAAAGGAGATAACATCTTACTATATAAAATACTACTCCACTGTGACTGCAGCTCTATGCACTACATCTACGTACCTGCAGCTGCTGAAGAAGAAGCGCTTGCCTGGCCAGACTGTCAAAGGGAGAACATGCCTTGCAGATCCTTGCAGTTGTCTGGATGATGTAGAGGCTGCAAGTGGCGTGCTTGATGTCTAGACTACAGCGTGGCTGCGCTCGAAATGCTCGAACAGGCTAGAACCACTATTCATATTGAGGAGACTGGCCCCCTCTAAGACCAGTCATCAGACAGCGCTTGGCACTCATCAATCAGCACTGCTTTAAAATCAGCTCCACATCCGTCAAGCCCAGGCTTCTGGCTTCCCCGTGCAAGCCATCTTGACGAAATCGAACGAACTCATGTTGTTCAAGGTCGTCCTGGAGAGCATGCAACTATCTGCATCGGCTGCGGAAAGCCAACTTGTGCAAGAGGCTTGTTTGTTAGAACAGCTGTAACACCTTTTTTTCAATCTGTTCCACTCAGCTCTCGTCACGCACTCGCCGAATTTCCTCTACAAGCATCTGCTGACCAGAGATTGGACAGTGGCCGTGCTGCTGTACATGAGGTACTAAGCACGTGTAACAGAAAACATAGCCGCTGCAAGACATAGCTGGGTTCTGACGCCGACGGTGACACAGCGCACAAATGGCTCTATCTTCTGGCAGCAGTACCAAATGACTTGTTTGAGATCCGTCAAGCGTTTCGGGGTAGGGATATGGCGTGGGAGGTGGAGGAGGCACTTTGCGTGGTTGAAGTGGCTGTAGAAGCTGCTCACGCTGATACCACCACTGCAGAAACTGGAGCAAGTAAATCCCTCCCCAAAGAGAACCCTTGGCGCCAGCCATGAACAAGTTGCGGGCCCGTGCGGCCAGTGATTGGCCCGCTTCATCTTCTTCCTCTGGAGGAGGTTCGGGAAAGTGCCGCACAAGCTGCAAGCCCAGAAGATGCAACCAAGGTGACCATATTCCTGTCTGTTCAAGAAGGTACAGCAGACGATATGCAAAGCTTATTCCGGTGCCTGCGGCGAGAACAACTGGATAGAACTGATGGAATACCAAGTCCATCTGGTTTCTAGCAGTAGTCAATGATATCTCCAACTGTCGGAAACGTTCTTCACACTTCGCCCAGAACCACGGTAAGACTACAGCTACAACCAACGAGGCGATGCGTTGCTTGACGTTCAAGGGCGGTGCCGCATATCTTCGCCTTGCTTTTTCCAAGGCCTCTAAGGGCAGTAGGCGTTCTGATTCCAGCTCTTGCCGCCTGAGCCCGAAGAAGTGCTCTGCAAATGTGGCCCCATGAGCTCGCAGGTTGTACCCCTCCACGATAAGTAGGAAGGCCGTGTAGATGGCTTGCCAGTACTCTAAGACTGGGACCAAGGCTCGGGGCGCTCGTTCTGATGCAATTTCCACAACAAATCTCAGGGCAGGTCTGAACACATCCGCCAGCTGATCCTGTGCAATGAGCTCGAAGAATGTTGGTCGGAAAATATCTTTTCCAGCATAGACACTGGTTAGGAAGCCCTCGTACGCAGCCATCGAGGTCGTCTCATGCTGATAGGGGACATAAGACAACACACGCCCAGAACTGCTCGCTAGTTTTTGATGTATATCCAGACTGTGTGCTCGTGCTTCTTCTGTTATGCCTGCCGCCAAAGTTAAGCGAGCCGTCAGCTTTCTCTGTTTATCTGTGATTTGCTTGTTTGATAATTTTATCCTTGATGCTAGGCAAACGGCGCCCAGGGAAAGAACAACCATCTTCCAAGCTCACACTGACGCTGTTCACCGGCATCCGTCTTCAAGAGCTGGCCTCTCAGGATCTGCACGGAACTCAAGGAGCAGTTGTACAGCTTCATGGCATCCTGCACAAACTGCCTGCCATGGCACTGAAGTGCTTCTCGAAACCGCGCATCCAAAAAAAAAAGCATGCTAGAAGCAAGGTATCAATTATTGTTGTGTCTGAAGGAGCGGCTGCCTCCATGAGGGGAGTCTCTCCCAAAGGCTTGTCGGCAGCATCCGGGCTGGCCCTTGCCTCCAGCAGGATGCGGCAGGCACCTGCAACATAGTGCTTCAACATGCCCCAACAATCACCCAGTGCCCAAACTCAATATCTTCATGTTACCAACAACCAGAGCAGAAGCTCACACTCAGGAAGGCACGAAGTTGGGATTCTTGCTCACCAACCTTGGCGGCACAACGTTTGATAACCCGTGCTTTACTTTGCACTTGGTGCAGCTACCTGTGCCTGACTCTGCGTCAATCTGAGTAAGCATGTGTTTAGCATCAGCAAAGAGCATGCGAGCGCTTCTTTGGGAATTTCGCTTGCCACTCAGACTCTGTTGAAAAATCCAAGCCCCCTGCCAAAGCGCTTCGAAGAGCCAATGCCAGCGCGGTCTCACCGACCTTGTTCTTCGCGTCGAATCCTGCGCGCAGAAGTCACCAACTACTATACGTACCATGCTCTATGTTTCAACCAAATTCCCCTGAAGGATGGCTCATCAGCAAGGGCAATGCGCTTCAGCTATGGCAAGGCTTGCCCTGCACTTGCTGGGGTTAGGTATAAATCATTCACCAAAGTTGCGCAACATTGTCTGGCCACTTACTCGATGCGTCAACCTCGCACTAGAGAGGGGCTGCCGGGCCTACGCTTGAATCGCTGATGCATTTCGCCTGCGCACAGCTACAGGCAGCACACCTGGAAGACACATTGCCATGCCCTGCATGCCCCGGATCGCACCTCGCGCACCAATGATTTCAAGGCAGCCTCAGGTCTGATGAACTGCTGCTTTGGGGAATGAAAGCCGCGCTCTGCTCAGCTAGGACCCCACCCATGAGTCGAACATATGTCTTTGCTCCCTGGATTGTTTCACATGGCTTAGATATGGTCAACTCAATGCTAAACAACCTGCCACCACTGGCCACTGATCTCAAGCTCGAGGCATCGAGTTGAGTGCTACGTGCCTGAATTTTGTGACTTCCTGTTCATTTTCTGGTAAGATGAAAGTGGAGTACCTTGCGTGGGGGGTCCCGGATTCGTTCTCTTTTGGCGCTACTTGCATCTGTAGGCAGCTCAAGGTCACTCAGGAGCAGAACTTCTACAGGACCCGCACACATAAAGGACTAAGAGAAGCAGGAGCATCTGAATTGCAAAACGTCTGCGACAACAGCTTCTTTTTTTACAACTCTTCGGACTTTTGATGCCTGCCTGAACGACACGGGGTTCTTACCTCCTGGTAGTGGTGATTGCAAGGGTTTTCCCTGACGCACAAACTTTCATTCGGTCACCTCTCTCACTACAACAGCTTTGAGAGGCTGGCTTCGCACGTACTCATTGGCAATGCCGGCGTTCCCACGACGACATGCAGAAGCGATTGCCTGCAGCTGGTCTCAAAAGTGAAGCTGCTAGGAACAGCACCTGCGAACCTTCTGTGCCAAGGGCATACAGTTGGTGTCCAGTTAAGATACCGTATACATAGCTGCTTCCCTCAATAACGCTTCATGCCCAAAGCATCTCCATGCCCAAACTTGACATTGCTCCGCGCTCATCCAACATGGGCTTGCAGAGGTCACGTGAGACGACTTCTCCTTTGGAGGAAGCCTTCCTCGAAATGTGCGCTTTGTGCGTGGTGCGTACTTACAATGTCTGGAATCAGTTGCCACTCTCACTTGTAAAGTGGGTGTGTAGACAACAGGCAAGATCTAATTCGTAGCGCTACGACGTTGACATGGCACTGACATCCAGAAAAAGATTTCAGCCCCTTCGCGACTGAATCTGGACAGGCCACCTGGCAGCCTCTATGTACCATTTGTAACGATGCGTGGGAATCATTCACCCGCAATAGGTAGCGAGATTTTGATTCCTCTGTTGTCTTGAATTCTCCTTCCATCTCCTGCTCAGCCTCTTCATGGTTATAAAATACCACAGAGCAACCCCAGTCTGAGCAAAACAAAACACCCAAAATTTCAGCTACCTTGGTTTATAAAGACTGGAAATTAACAGGCAGGCCAAGGTCAAAGGGAGAACATTAGATTGTCGGTGCTGTGGCTTTCCAGCAGCCTGACTTCCATCAGTTCGAATAACCTGGCCCGGGGAAACACACTGAAGAGCATCTTGGCTTTTTGGGCTGCGTGTCTCATTGTTTCCACTGGCGGGAGGCGGTTTTTCAGACGCCATTTCGAGAAGCCTTCAGATTCCTATTCTGGTTCTTATATAACTTTTGTTACGAATATTACTACTATTACTACTAGTATTACTATTGGGAAGACGTGGTGCGACTGCGTCACAAGGTGCAGGAGCGACTTCATGAATTAGGACTGGGAATGAATGTATCCAAGAAAATAAGTACAAACCCCACGTACACACCCGACCTGGGGTTTGTAACTCTTGCCTGGCACTGTCCACAAAAAACTACAAACCCCACAACTGGATGAAAGTTGATGGCTTCATCAGCCACCAGAGGCAGTATAGGGTTTAGGGTAGAATCTAAGGAAATGTTACAACTCCCACCTACACACCCCACCTGGGGTTTGCAATTCTCGCTTGGCACTGTCCGCTGAAAACTACAAACCCCACAACGGGATGAAAGTTGCTGGCTTTATTGATCACCAGGAGACCCTAAAGTGAGGGATCTTGGGGTTTGTACTTGGGGTTTGTAAAAATTTCCTTAGAATGTAGAACCCGAAAAAAGTGCAACAACTGATCGTGGTCAAATAGACTTCAAAAAAGTATTGGCAAGTGTCTAGGCCCCTATACTGCGCGGTTCCACATAGCAGCTTCCAAGTTCTTTACATTATCCCTATGGGTTGCTGTCTGCAGTTTTGTGGGCACCCGCGGATTCCCTTTGTCCCGACCGTTCGGTAGGTGTTTTAAGCTGCTATGCTAGCTCTGGCAAGCACACTGATAAATGGCACCTTTCAAAGGGTTGCGTGTCGTTCTCGAACTGCTGCAGAATCTCATTGTTGGCAAGCGCCTTGGGAGAGGTTGTGCAGTTCCGACAGACACGTGATTCAGCTCCTGTCAGACTTATTTTTCACATCGCATGGATGAGCTCATCTTGCCATGCAAAGTCGTGCTAGTGGTGCTTCGCTCTGCTAGCTGGGAGCGAGTGGGCATCATCTCTACTTGACCTGCTGCCAGGCACTTGCCGTTCTTGGAACAGGAGGAGTTGGTCAACCTGAGAAGACGCACACTTTGATGGAGGGTATAGTAAGAGCTTGCTTCCTAAAATGTTCCCGTTCAAACAGCCCTTTTTGCATGAAGCGCCTGCTTACAGGTTACAGTAGAAGTTGTCGAAATTCATATTAAACAGCTTCATCGGCAGTACCGGCCTCTGCTTGATTGAGCTCCAGAACTCCTTCAGATTCACCCCGCTGGGTTTCCAAGTTCCCGAGTACCTCTCAAACTTTGCAAGGACACGCATATGCTTGAAAGCAAATCACGGCATTGCGTCCAGCCTGCTGGGTGGAGACGAGGAGCTCCTAAGCTTTGGCCGGCGCTTGCCAGGAAATCGGCTGCATTGGCCGATTGAAAGCAGACCACTGATTGCAGCTCCAGGGGCAGTTTGCATGGCAACTTCTCTCTCTACGCGCTCGGCATAGGCTACTTGAAGTTCCTCCAACGTTTGCACATATGCTCACTTTGTCAGGGTTGACAAGAAGCCAATGCACACGTGAAGCCTCCCATCTACTTGCACAAAGCGTAGAGAACCCAAAGATTTGAAAACTAGCAGCCTGGGATGGCCTACGTGGCAGAATCAGAAACATGCCTGCAATTGGGCTTGTGTCTGCCCGATCTCCACATCAAATTCATCGGGCAAGTCCACCTCCTGAAGCTGCAAGCCTGACAAAGCCCATATGGGAGTCTCTCAAGTCTTTGGTAGGGGCACATATCATCCTTTGGTAGGCACTGTACTTATAGATATCCTTGAAGTCCCCAAAATCAAACGGCAAAGTATGAAGTCTGCGGGCTCTGAGCAGAGCTATTTACTTTCAGCACCTGTCGGGGAAACAAGTTGTTGTCCTCAGCACTTGCTTGAAGCAAACGGTTCAAGTCTGTCAGACAAAGACTGTTTGCCCAAGGCCTTTGATGTTCGCCTGCAGACCTTTATCCGGAAGTTGGAAACTTTTTTCAAGTTCCTTCAGCAACGGGAATCAACGGTTCCCAACACATGTCTGCTGTGTGCAGAACTGCTCTCCTCCAGCATGGCAGCGATGATGATGGTGCGATTTGTGAAATACATGTCAGCAGGGTAGTGCGAACCTGGGGCTTGCTACATGTGGTCATCAGGGTGCGACCAAGTACTACGCATTGAACGCTTGTAACACTTTCAGCATCGCTGTCAGGTAGAGATTGACGAGTGCAGGAAACAAAGCTGAAACAGCAGCTGAGCAGCATGTACTGATAATTGCAGCACGGGCAAAACGTACAAAAGCATCGTCATAGCCGTCCTCCCCCAAGAGGTAGTACAAGGGGTTTAATGCCTGAGATTTGACGCCGCTGAGTGCATAATTGTTTAGATCCACATTTTCCAACTCTGGTCTGAGATGCCTGTGGCTCCAGCTTCCACTGGAAACTCACTGTGACCTCGAGTCTTCTGGCATGGAGGACACAAGTAGACTAAAGGCTTGTGATCCGCAAATGGGGCTCGTCTGAGAGGAAGACATACATCTCTAGCCCATCTGCAGAGCGAGCACGGATGGGCTGCTTGACAATTGGTGGGAAGGCACTCTGCGATGTTGCCTGCAATATGCACACCTTCTCTGGAATGGAGCTACAACAAAGATGCATCATTGCTCGGCCTGCACTCCTTGTGTGGAGGCAGCGAAGTACATCGTCTGAAATGTTGACGGATACTCCAGCAGGTTATTGCCCAGTCCAATAAACCTGCTCTGCAGGCCCATGCCAAGAGGGACTAGACATTTTGCAGCACCGACTGGGGAACTATCACTGCAGCATGCCCAGCAAAGCCATGACAGATTTGCATTTCTGATACTGGGGCCAGGACTTCATTCCAGCCTGCATTTCCTCAAATGAAGTGCGCTGCTGACAGTCTCAAGCCCATGCACCCTGCAACCAGCATGTGCAGCTGTGGAGCACACGCGGTTGGTGAGACATGCCAAAACATTAGTTGCAGCACAGGCGCAGGCTCGTCCAAGATGCTCTGCGATAGCCATATCCTACAGCATGCGTGTCATTTGCTGATTAGCTCGCGCCTTGTGATGTTTGCAGATTCAGGTCTAGCTGGCCGCTAGGTGGTGGACAGAGTCACTGCATACTTCCCCTGCTCCATTGACCTTGCTTGTGATATCTGGTGACAAGCGTTTCCCCGGCCTTGAACAGCTAAAAAAGAGTTAACGGTCCGTCCAGCAGCCTGAGAGACAGAATAGCGGCCTCAGACACACTGTCACAGTGCCGGGGAGAGTTACGTTGAGCGGGGTTAAGCTTGGAGCAACGATGCCAAACACCAGCCAAAAGCAGCCTCAAAAAGGCGTAGCCAACAGAGGCTGGCTTCGGAGCATCTGTTGGTTTCAACAAATGTCAATCTTCCCGGCAAAGTCATGCAGGAACCAGGTTGCCTGGCACTTGCCAAGAACATGATATCCAGTGCAGACGAGAATCAACAGAAGCAGCCGCATGCTTTGAAGATCTGAACTTGTTCGATGCCCATTTTTGCACCTGAGTCACTTGCAATGCCAGCACCATGAAGCTGCAGTTTCCGTCTTGGTGTAGCTGGACCCTTTAGTTCCGCATGCGAGAAGTTCAAAAGGCAGCAAACTTTTGGGTGTGCTCGTAGTAAATACCGTCTCTGTGCCGCCTGCAGGGCACACTGGATTGACCAGATACATAGATGTTTCAAGCTCGTGCTTGGTCGAAGCTTCTGTGAAAGCTCTGGAGGTTATCAAGCAGCAACCAAGAGCAGAGCGCAATCCAAGCTTTCCCAAAAAATATCGGCCTCGTGCTGCTGCTGCTGCTGCTGTGTCGTCGCCAGATTGCCAAGATTCCACAATCTACTCGCCGAGTGGAAAACTCATGATGTGCTGATGATTTGGATTGTGCATCTCAATTATGATTATTAACAAGCAGGTGCCAACCAAAGAAAAGCCTGCCACGCCAACGGGTGAGGGGGCAAGCAACAAATAAAGGTTTAAACTACATCAATTCGGGACCAAAAAATGAAATTAAGGCTCAACAAAATGCTTCGCGTTCTTCGGATGCTTAAAATACTTCCACCGCCATGCTTAGAAAGATCAGAAAAATGAGGATAAAAAACTCAGCACTGTACTTACTGAAAAGGGTTTCTTCTATACTGCAAATGCTACGACTCCGGGGTGCTCGCAGGCGAAAATACAATACATAACACAATTCGGAGGTGATACAAGTAACACTACAAGAATAAGAGATAGAATAATTTAAACAAGTAATACCCCAAAAATGATAAACATGGAAAGGGGTGTAATGAGTCAGAAACGGATGAAGATGCGAAGAAGCAGCCTTTCGCTAAGTAGACATAAGTTTCGGCAGGCCTTCAAAAAGAGCGGGGTGGGGATTGGGAGGGCGCAGCCCCGCATTATGACCATAATAATAACTGTAATAATTCTAGCACTAAGAACTATACCAGTCTCAGAAGCAGTGACGCGTAATAATACTTGCAATGGTAATACTGAAAACTATAAGAACGATGATGGCAATAAGAACTATCAACATCAACAACGGCGACAACCAACCATCGTATGAATAATTGCGATAGTAATTGTAATAAAAATGATTATCGCAGTACCAGCAATACTCACAATAATAATCCTACTATTGCTGATCTTGAACAACCGAAAGCTTCTTGATATGCGCTCGCACGATAACACCACTGAATCAGGGTGCCTCAAGGAAACGCAAGTCTTTCTTTCCCGGCACGGTCAGCATCCGACTGTGTCCTTGTGAGGGGTGTATGCTCCAGTCGTGGTGTTTTTCCTCCGTCGAGAATCGCCAAGGCCTCACAGCAGGACCGAGTTTTACACGTCCTCAAAAACGCCGAGGCCCTTGAGATTGATCCCGTGACACCAGGACATGCCAACTATCAGGTGCTTGGGCATCGAACTCCGAAATCGTGTCAAAGAAGATGAGGGGCTGGGCTTGCTGGTAAACTTCCGGGAACTACGAGCAGGCTCGTCAGCGAACTTGCGGGCTGACTTGAAGGCGTCCGCGCCCCTGAGGGTCAAAGCCACATGCTTTGAGATGTGCCGCCATACTAGTTCCCTTTTGCCGGAGTTGACGTGCCGGTCTCCTGGAAGTGCATTTTCTCGATACAAGCAAAGTACTTAAGAAGTTCAGCATTCTTGAGGCTTTCATCAGGACGTGGCAGTAGCTGAGCTTCTCATCATGAAGCTTCTGTAAACTGAAGAGTGTGTTCCCAATGCTCCGGATCTTGAAAGCTCAGCTGAGGGATCATGAAAGTATAGGACTGCGTCAGGCCAGGATAATGACCATCATAGTCGTAATACCAGAAGTACTAAAAGCACAAATAAAATGAAACCTACAGGAAATAAGAGCAGCAAAACTCACAATAGCAAGAATAGGAAGAATTTGAATCGTAAGAATTCTAGTAACAAAAGTGGTTCTGGCAACAGTAACATAATACGAACAATCGCAGTAAGAACAATGACAATAACACAATAATGAAAGTAATCATGGTAAAGGCAGTACTGATAAGGGGGTGTCGCAAAAAAACAGCCTTTGGTTAGCCACTCGCAAAGTCTCGATCCATACCCTAGGGAATGAGGGGGTTGATCCATATGCTATGGATCGCACCATGTCGCTGTTCATGAGGTTTTGGAAAGAGGGGGTATGGACCGAGAAGCCCTTGATGATCCATACTCTATGGATCGGGGTATGGATCAAATGTTCGCACACCCCTTGTTCCATACTCAAAAAATTTTGGGACACACCCAAAATAATAGTAAAGGTAGTAACAGTAGCATCAGTAAAGTAACAAGAATGCAGTATAGTAGGAACCAAGATGAGCTGGCATTACAATCACTTGTTTGTGGCGTTGGTGCGCTTCATGAAGGGTGCCCCGTATGGTTTTGCAGCTGTTTTCCAGCATCTTTCCACTCATCGAACAATCGCCCTTACTGCTTTACATCAACGGCAATGTTGATCGGAGTTCAGTCAACAAGGCTAAGAGTAGCCGTAGTAAGAATAATAAGAATAGTAATATACTTGTACACACGAGACCGATACGCAGACATCTTCATATTCAGAATACTTCCTTCCTTCCTCCCTACCTTCTCCTTAGTTGGGGATCCCGCGCAAGAGTGAGGACGCTCCATGCGAGAGCTGGTTTTGGGGTTGAAATCTTGACGACGCTCCAGGGAGAGCTCGACAGTGAGGAGGCCCACAACTGGAGTTCGGGCAAAAATGCCATCCTCATTCAATTGTTTTTGATCCCTAGTCAGCTTTTTGAATCCCCGCTCATGTTTTGGCCGCTACGTATCTTGGAACCCCATCGCCAATCGCGTGCAACCTGGTCCGATGCCTTGGACGTGCTCTGCTTCGCTCACGGACAGGGGAGGCTTCGCCTTTTGTCTTCCCGAGTCTTCCCTGTTTAGTCAATCACTTCTGAGGGCTGCGCAGTAGAGAAGCCGCCAGGTTGCGCCGCGTCGAGACAACTATCTAGCTCTGCTTGCTCGCTCGAAGCAAACTGGCTGCATCTTCGAAAGGAGAGCGCTTGCACAAGCACAGATAAGCCTAGCTGCATGTAGATACAAGTTGCAACATGCAGAGCTCGCGATGGTGTAGTCCATTAACTTGTACAGTTGAAGGCATATACAGTGCAGAAATGGCCGTGCGAAAAAGGCAAAAATGAGTTTCAACGGCACAGGGGCGGACCCTGAAGCGTCAAGACCGAAGAGTGCGGAACCCCAGGAGAAGGCCATGGAGTCGCCTTTGCTCACGACGGCCGGATGGCTGTTCCACACTTTGTCACTGCTCAAGTTGAAGACCATGTCCGCCACCTGAGATCACCTGAGATTCAGGCCCTTGATTCTGTCCTCGAAAGACATAGGAAGGTTTGCCGAAACTTCAAAATCACACATGGGGGGCTTCGATGCCGAAGGGGGGACGACAAGCCCGTCCTTTCCCTGCAGGAGCCGGTCAAATGTGGCCATCTCCTTGATGCAAGAAAATGGCTAGAAGAAGGAATGTGCTGGGGCACTTAAATCTGTGCTCCAGGCACAGGCTAGAATGGCTTCCTTGAGGCATGCCTCAGCCACGAAACGACACCAACCATAAACTAGCGACGAAAACCCGCGCTCCAGCGTTTGCCAGCATTCTGTGTTGCTTCCACGCGCACTAATCCAGGCAAGTTCATGACAACGCATTCTCGGCGTTGAGGCCAAGACCTGCAGTGCCTGCACAGTGAGCTCCGAGACCTCAAACGAACAAGCCCAAGTGTTGCACAATGTCGCGGCGCAGTATCTGAATGGAATTGTTGTAAAGAACATTTCTGATAGCTGGCAATGTTGGAAAGCTCTCTGAAATCTTCGCATGGCTGACTGGGGCTGATGCCAATTCCACAGGAACAGAATCTTTTCGCTGCTCCTCCATGCACAGCAGTGGTTCTTTTAAGGTTCCCCGGTGTAAAGAAAGGTGTGCTGCCCTTCGTCAGGTTTCGCGGTGAGCTTCGACAGATCTCTGGCTTACAAGCTGCTTATGTACCCAGCAGCCTGCTTCAGACAGCTTCGGGAGGCTACATGCTTGGGCTCACATGAATCACTCTCTCATGCAGCCCCTTCTCACTTCACGTTGCGTGCAGCCTATGTCGTTAGCTTTGAGTGACCAGTAACAAAGCTAACATCGAAGCCCAAGCATGGCTCGGGCGAAACTTCGTCTCCCAGCTTAGCTGTCGTCATTATGGCGGCTGGGTTTGCAGCGCAAGCGACTTTGCCCGCATAGTCTGCGTCTAGTCGGCACCCCTCTCAAGCAGTTGGCCGTTTGAGCGTCACGGCTCAGCGAGCCCTGCAAACCATAGAAAGTTGTGAAACCCGGAACTGCTCTGCACTTTTGTGAGAAGCTCTTTGCTTGTGACCTAGCCAAATCTGTACACCTGGTACCGGTAAGGGTGCCGCTACAAAGCCGCCACAGGGTGCTTACTTGGCACCCTTACCCGCCAAGAAGTCTGCATATTGCACATCATACAGGGTGGTGTGCTCGTGAAATTCCTCTCGAGACTTGGGACAGAATGCCAGCAATCTCGTGCAGCTGTAAAGCCGGCCTGGAGAAGCTCTCGTACAAAAGTGGCTGGAACAGACGGGCCACAAGACAGCTGCTTGCGAACCTTAGGAAGCAACTCTGCCTATGTAAGGTAATCCACGGCAGCTTGATCTACAAATGCTGCATGGCACATGATTCGGAAGTCTGACCTTGTTCAGCATCCGCTGGTGCTCATTGGCATGACTTTTCTTTGCAGACAGCTTCTCCTGCCAGACCGGTCGCTTTTGAGATGAACCCAATTCTGGCTGACATTCATGATGGAACTGTCTAGAGCAAAAGCCTGCCTCTACACTCCAACGTGCTGTTTACAGTTTGCACACATTGTAGTCAGGCTTTAGACTGGGTGTCTGAGGCCAGTGCGTTAACGTGTGCTCCGAAGCCGTACTCCTCAAAGAGGGCCTCCTTGCAGAGATGCAATGATTGCAGTATCAAATCCAAACTCAGTCGTCTTCAGGCTGTGCTCTGGGACTGATCCAATCCTCGTGGGCAAAATGGTCTGAAAGGCACTTCAGAACCTCCTCGCAGCCATGGACCCAGCAAGTACGGCAAAGGCTCTGCCCATTCTGGGTACTACAGCAAAAGGCCTCCAGCACTTCTCTGGTCCTGACAGATTCAACTACTAAACTCCATCTTACTAGAAGAATGTGCAGGCACAACAACCTGAAGAGAGCAGCTACAAGCCGTGATATGTTGTGCGATTGGCAACATGCTCATTCAGTGTCAGCATGATTTCGTTGATTTATGCTGGTGCCTCATGATTAATCAAAGGACACATTTCTTGGTCGGGGTGCCTTCAGGCTGGGCCGACTATCTGGTGTATTATTGCTGGAGTTTCTAGTCTTGCGACTACAGGCTGTGGTTGCTGAAGATGTGTCCTGGTGTTCACAAGGCGTCGCAAGGCCGTGGCGCACTCTTCGTGCTCAGAATCCATGGATGCTACCTCCCCGCAGCTCAAGGCGATACACTGAGTTGAACGCAAAAAATGTTGATCGAAGCTAAGCATTGAATACATTGAAGAGGACCACCTTGACGCTGACAAGGTCGAGGGCTTGGCTGACAAAATCTGGATCCACCTTGCACCTAGCATGGCTCAGCTTGAAACAGCTTGGGGCTCGAACGATTTTGCATTTTCTCCGGGCTCCAGGCTCGGCTCGCTCGCAAGTGCTGGGATCACATGTGCTGCCTTCTGTTTGGTCGTTGCAACATTTTCAAGAAGCGAGATTTTCTTTCGTGGCTTGCGAAGGCAATCATGTCTGAGAAAATCTCGGTCCAAGCCTTCCGAGCTGCTCGCCTCCCGCTCTTCGCAGCCCGGCTTGGAGCAGGGCAGGCCGCAGTTGCCCCCCTCACAGCTTTTGCGGTCTCCACAGCCTGCTGCCTTCTGGCAGCTGCCGTCAGCACAGGCTCCGCTGCTGCAACCTTGTTTCAGAAGCCCCAAATCACACATCCTGCATGTCCCCAACGTTTTCAAAATGCATCTGCCTTGTCCACAGCTCTCTTCCTCGTCCATAGGATCAAGGCGCTGCACCTGCAGGCAGGGGAGGGGGGGAATACGCGTGCCTTTGGGGCCAAGGCTTGGCTCGGAGCATAAGCTCCAGACAGAGGAGTGCGGCACCGAAATCATCTTTCCCTGAAGGGGCCCGTCCTCCAGAGCACACCCGCAAGATGCAGATCTCATCGCAGGATATCGCAGGTGCTTCGCACTCCAAGGTTGGCAGCAGGTGAAGCCAGCAGCCAGGGCTTGATTGTAGCAGTTGCACTTGTGACCAAAAAACGTAAGCAAGGCCGCTGAAGTCCACTGTGTATACATCCCAAGTTGCACTTAAGAACCTTTCAGCATCTTTCAGCTTTAGGTCCAGTTGAAAGCTGGGTCAGCCAATGCAATTGCCAGCGGCCCAAACTCCCCATCCCTGTCCTTCGACCCATGGTAGGCTGTTCACGAAAACCGACCCAAGTCCAACCACTTCTGTGCCCCGTCATGATTGTGATGTCCAGCACACCAGAGCACAAGCGCAAAGATTCGGATGGTGCTGCTGCCGCTGCCACTGAAGCATGTTCAAACGAATGAGCAAGCCATGATCAGATGATTTCGCAGACAGTACAGTACGTCTACGTATCAATGCGGGCGAAGCATGCTAATGCTGCTTGAAACGTTGGCTCCAGCTCGTGAACATCTGTCAGACTTGCAACATGATCTTCAAGAGCGTACCACGAAAGCACAATTTGGGACCAGATGTGATTGACGCACACTACATGTTCTTGCATGGTGAGTAGCTCTTCCGCTTCAGTTGCTTTCGCGTTTCATTGTTCTGTGTAGGCAGCACGTGGTACTGTTTACCTGGTCACAGGATCAATCCCGCTACTTCTAGGCAACGTTGACAGACACACGTGACCAATGACTGAGTCTCGGACCGTGAAGCCAAAGTCAACCTGGATTCGAATGGGCAATGAAACACGGAACTCCTCTCGCATGAGACAATTACTTCCAGCCTTGTTGTCCTGGGCACGAATACAGATGCCCCTGTCGTGCACTTCCGTTAAGTTCAGAAGAGTTGACAGCAACTGCAAAGGTTGCCGAGGGTTGACATGGCAGTCCTGTAGCCCTGAAGCTTTTCCAGTCCCTCTGGTGCTTTGGCCAGCTGAACTGCTTCGCCAGGACCTAATCAGCGCTAGAGCATGCGGCACAGGAGCATGTGTACAAGTCGTCGTAGGCTCCACCCTCTTCTTGGTTTCTGCTCTGGAAGATCCCAAAATTGAGCAAGCGCGTATGCTGTGCAGGTGACGGCTTTTTGTGGATCACTGGTCTGGGCCCACTTCATGCGAGGCTGGCCCTTTCTGTCGTGTACTGTTGGAGTTGAAAAAAAAAGAAGCTACATCCTGCTCAAAACAAGCCTCAGGTCAGTGCAGAGATCTGGTAGCGGCAGGTTATTGCAAACAGCATTCAGCAGGGCCTGTGCCATATCCAGGAAGCGCAGAGCAGACTCACATTTCAGATGCTGAGTTGCCCTCAATATTTGACTGTTCGAGGCTAGCCGCTTTCAACTGCCCATGAATGTATGATATTAACAAGCAGCCAAGAATTTTTTGGAATGGATAGCGCTGAGAAAATGAGTTGTGTACTTACTCGCCCTTGCTGTTCGGTTCTCAGATCGCTTTCCTCGCCCGGTCTTACCCATCTTCCTGGAGCGCTCAGCCGCATTCCTCCAGCACCCAACAACAGCGTGCAGCTGCAGTTCTCAATTAACATGTGGCGTGTCCCGAAGCTGAAGCGTAAAAGACATGGTGGGGACGATCGGACTACAACATCTGAATCTTGACAAAGCCATGCCTACAATTGGTGCATTAGGAAGCTGCTGGCGGCGCAGGATAGGTGAACATGACTTAGCCAAGCGTGCAACATCTGCACCTCCACGTGTTTGAAGGCCAAGCCTCGCACCTGGATGCCGGCAAACTGATGGATTTCGTTCTGTTTTTGCTCATCGCAGCTTGGCCTGCATGAAGGGGGAAGTGCCCTCAGAGACAACCTTGTGCCTAGCCACAGGCCATCGCAAGAATTCACCAATTGACCGGCTTCAGGTCTGAGGTGCTCACTCCTTGTCCAGGACAATGAAACCCTGACAGCCCAACTGTCCGTACCTGCAGCAATGCATGCCTCATCAGGGACATCTGTTAAGACATCATCTCTCCGTAGCACGTGGGCATGTCTTGAGGTGATGCCACAAAGCCGTTGACCTCAAGATCTTGAGGGCTGGGTGTGCATGCCAGAGTCGAGACAAATGGGACTGAAATGGGCTCCGGCACAATGCGTAAGCTTCATCTGAGCGCTCATCTCCTGTCAGAAATGATAAGTCTTGTAAAGCCAGGTCGTTTTCCAGGGGGCTACCTTGCACAAGCCGTATGCTGATCTGTCTCCCAGCACCTGAGCCAAGTCAGACGAGGAAGGTGGGACCGTCTTAGGTTGGTAAGAGTAGCAAGCTGAATGCATAATGCTCTGTAAGCATGGGATCCCTCATTCCCTTTCACAGCACAGAGCTCAGCTGCGGACACAAATGCAAAGGAAGTTACAGTCATAAATGCCCTCGGCCTCATTGATCCAAGCAGCCAGCAACAAAAAATATGACCCTATTATACTATCGTAGTTTCCATGTTCTTTTCCATTATCCCAGTATAACCCCTACATAACCCCAATATAACATCACATGACAGCAGCCAGGGCCCAGCAGCCCAAGAGTTCATCTGCTGCGCGCAGGGCCAACATCCACCTGCAAACGCTTCCAGCCTTTTCCCGAATGCGTAGCTGAAGGGTTCCCGTTTTAA